TGGGGCTCTGCCCGGAAGCCCAGAACTTTCTCAATTGCCCCACTTTATTCTATACATTCACGTCCATGAATGGCATTCCTTTGATGAGGTACCCTCATGCCATGCACAACCTGGACACCTGAACATGGCAGCAGTGCCTGGATTAGCCAGTCGTTCCTGCTCCCCTGGTTTCTCCAAACAGGATAAAACCACCTTGAACAATAGATACCTGTTTCTCTTAAACAGATCCAGGATCGCTGAGATCCCTCATTTCCGTCCAGCCATGGGGCTCTTCGTCCTGCTCTCCCTGACTGTCCTTTCAGGTAAGACAGGGGAAGAAATGTCACCAGCTTCCCCAACTTCCCAGGGACCTTCCAGTACCATCTCCTCTCCTACTTTCTAGCACCAACTGCCGAAGGAGTGGGATGGGGAAATAGGAGGTGAAAATAGAGCTTGTCCAAAATAGTTCTTGTTCTTCGCTCTGATTAGAGGGCTGTGTGTGTGTGTGTGTGGGGGGGGGGGGGAAACCGTGGGGGGGGGGGGGGGGGGGGTTGAAACCCTCGGCTAAAATGAGGGCCCTGCATTCTCTAAGTTCCCCTTCCCTTCCCCCGTCTCCCCTTCAGAAATGTTTGTGCAGACAGACGAGAGTGAGACTTTCCCCTTTCTGCCCATTCTTGACACCAAAGACGGGACTCGGAGGACGGGGCTGGCCCTGGCTCTGTCACTCCAGCCATGTGACCCTGGAGAGTTGCTGGGGTCTCTCTGGGTCAGCGCCCCTGCCTGTAAACTGAGCATCACATGATCTTCCTTGTGAGGTTGATATGAGAACGAACGAAATACCAAATGATACCCGTTGGTACCAAGGACATGAACCTGCTTTGCAGGGTGGTCCCGCTCACCGTGAGCCACACTGGAGGTGGCATTTGAAGGGAGCCCAGCACATACCTGGAGGCTGACATGGACGGGTTGCTGCCCCCACTTCTTCTCCTTGGTTGGACACTTCCCCAGCCACGGTCAAGCTGGACGTGGTGTGCACGACTTCCTCGTTATGCAATATTGAGGTCTTGTAGGGAGGAAATAAGAAGTTCTTGGTCTCTAAGAACAGCCCCATACAGTCAGCAGAAGCCCCCAAACCTTCTCATTTTTTTTGAGGGTCTGAGGTGGCCTGTGGGGGAGCATGGCTGGGGGCAGAGGATCTATGAACAGTAAGCCTCAGGCTCTTCAAGCCTCCCATCAAGCAATGTTGAGAGGCCTCCTCAGTTCTTGCAGATGGGGGTCCGTATTTTACCTGCCCAGAGGCCTGGGAGGAAGGCTTCTCCAGGGCTGCTGTGTTCATTTGCTAGGCCTGCTGTAACAGGCATCACAGACCAGCGGCTTTGACAAGAGATTTATTTCCATGTAATCATGGAGGCTAGAAGCGCAAAGTCAAGGTGTTGGCAGGCTTGGCTTCTCCTGAGGCCTCTCTCCTTGGTTTGCAGAGGGCCGCCTTCTTGCTGTGTCCTCACATGGTCATTCCCTCTGCCACGTGTCCTAATCTCCTTTTTTAAGGACAACAGTTATGTTGGACTAGGGCCCATTCTAACAACCTCATTTCAATGTAATTGCCTACTTAAAGGTCCTATCTCCAAATACAGTCACATTCTGAGGGACGAGGGTAGTAGCACTTCAATGTATGAGTTTTAGGGATCACAACTCAGCCCGTAACAGTTGCCAATCCCAATCAGGCAAAAATCAGCCTCCAACGTTTTCATTAATTTTCCTCAAGGTGGGCAGGAGTTGCAACCCATTAAAAGAACACTGGTGTTTTCGTACAGGTGTGTGTAGTGTTTTTTACTTTTTATTGAACTTACTGGGGTGACATTAGTTAATAAAATTATGTCGGTTTCAGGGGTACAGCTCTGTAATACATCATCACTGTAGCGTGTGTCCACCACTCTGAGCCAAGTCCCCATCACTGCTGGTCCCCCCTTACCTCTCCTGCCTCCCTGTGTGTGTGTTTGACAGAAGCCATGGTCATGGACAAAAAGGTCAAGGAGAGCTTTGTGCTGGACACAGTGTCTGCTGTCTGCAGCTACGCCGCCCACTACAAGGACCATCTCAAGTACTGGTGCCGAGGCTACTACCGGGACTACTGCAACATCATCGCCTTCACACCGAACAGCACGGGCCGCGTGGCCCTGAGGGACACGGGGGAGCAGCTCATTGTCACTGTGTCCTGCCTGACCAAAGAGGACGCGGGCTGGTACTGGTGTGGCATCCAGCGGGACTTTGCCCGGGATGACATGGACTTCACCGAGCTGGTCGTGACTGACTACAGAGGAGCCCACACCAGTGACTTTTGGTCTGTGAAGGGTAAGGGGCATGCCAGGTGTCTACGTAGGGGTGCCCTACAGGGGTGGCTCAGCGAGCAGAGTGCAGTGTCTTGTTCCCTCGACCTCCCTCCTTGCAGGGTACCTTTCATGCCGCTGCGCGTGGTGCCTCGGCGTGACCTAGCCATCATTCGCGCTGTGGAGATTGAAGGGAAGCCAGAAAGAGATGTAGAGGCAAAGGGTGGGCCTGTGAATGGGCCTTGCTTGGCTCTTAGCAAATCCTTTCTGATGCAGATGCGTCAGGGAACATGAACAGGAGCTGCAGGGCTTCCCAACTGGTGTACAAGGCAGATCACTACAGGTGAGCAGACATGACCACTGACTCACACCCGCCACTTTCAGCTGCATATTGTTTCTCCACCTCAACGAGGTCTCTCCAATGGGACCATATGGTTCCTTCCAAAAGGATATAGTTTAGGGCTCTTGGTCACAGGATGCCCTGTCGCGGTTTTCATTTAAAAGGAGGAGAGAGCGGTGTCTGCTAAATGCAAGGGCAGGATGTGGGCACCCTCAGTCAGCGGGACTTCATCTCCTTCTCCCATTGGCTGCTCTTGTGTTTGCCTCCCCCTGTCCCGCCCTCTAGTCTTCATTTCGCCCTGGGAGAAGATAGATACCCATGTCTAGCCCCTGAGTTCTTGTCTCCCCTTCAGTGGCCTAGCTAGTCTGGGACTGGATTCTTCTTCTCCAAGGACCCAGGTTAGTTTCTTAGGAAGGGACTCAGCCCAGCGCAGACACCTACCCGCCCTGGGTGCAATCAAGTGGGGTCTGGAGGGAGGCGGCCACTCGGAAGGCATACGCTTGGCAGGAGCTGCTGGAACTGGCCGGGGCGGGAACAGGGCCGAGGGGACCGATCTCAGACAAGGGGATCCTGAGCAGAGAGTCGAAAGGTCGTCTCTTCCGAGGGACATGAAACTGTCTGTGGTTCCTTCCAGGATGTCCATTCTCATCACCTGCGTACTGATCACAGGGGTGGGGATCATTTCTCTAATGACTCACTTGTTCAAAAGGAGGAGGAGTCAAAGAAACAGAAGAAGTAAGCAGTGGCTGGTGAGGGGAGGGGGCATTGTAGGGGAAATAAAAGGGATCAAGAAGCAGCTTTCAAATGGGTAAATGTGACCTCCTCTTATTGCCTGGACCCCTGGAAGCCAATGCAGACAGCCAGGGGCTCAGGGAGGTTCTGCTTCCCGGTGACAAAGGCACCGTGAGATGTGACAGAGACAGCACTGTCCCCCTCCTCAGCGGAGGTGTGTGTGGGCCCGGGAGGAGGGAGGCCCTGAGACAACCACAGCACAGCTTTCAGGACTGGGGGCCACCCGCCTGTCCAGCACACAAGCTTTGGGAGGCAGCTTTACTCCTTGATTGAAACATTTTGTTCCCCCTGGAGGGACTAGAAGCCATGCCTCTTTTCAAAGGGGGCCCCCAGGTGAGGGGGCATAGAAAGGTCACCTTGAGAAGGGTCAGGAGTGGAAGGGGATGGGCCCACCAGCCTCAACCCTAGACCGGGTCATGAGAGGCGTGGCCTTGAAGCCTTCTGCCTTCGGGCGATTACAGGTAAAGGCCTAACTCGAAGCCAGAAAACCAGGCAAGCTGCTTCTGCGTTCGCCACACCTCTGGTAGGTTCCCTCCTTGGCTCTTCTGCCTGAGCTCTGTACCCCTCAACTACCCAATCTTTAGGGCTCCCCGTTCCTAACCAGAGAGCAGGAGCTCCATGCAGGGCAGGCTATGTGGACCTGTCCACCTTTCCTTTCCAAGTAATAACCAGCTGATTCAGCCCTGAACACAAACTGTGCTGTTCAGTCCCCAGGAAGCCCCCATGAGAGAGTTGGTAACTTTGGCTGAAGAAACACTCGGCCTGGGTAGGCAGTAGATCTCAACTCTGTTTTTCCTTTTGTTTCCAACAAAGTAAACTCTTTAAAGCGCCCCCTCGTGTGTCCAGACTTCAAAGGAACTGGCTCAAACTGGACAGACGTGACTGAAGATTTATTTAGCTCATAAGCAAAGTGATGCTCCAATAGAATCACCATGACAACCAGCCACATCTACAGCTAGGTGAGAACAGTGGCCACGCCTGCGCAAGGCTAGTCAGAGAACACCTCAAGATCTTGGTTCTCATGCACTGAGCCGGCTGGAAGCGAAGAGGAGGGGCAGAACCTGTCAGGGGCCCAGATCACTTGTATTTTATCTGTGAGCCAATAAATTTCTAACCAGTGTTGAATGAACTCCAAAGTATGAATGACTTCTCCTGGGGTGTCACGGGAAAAATATTTCTGGAAGTTTCTTTTAAAGTATAATATTCCAATTAACTCCTGAAGTAATATTACGTGCTGTCCTACCCAAAGAAAGGGAGAGATAGGCTAAATCCTTGGTTTTCAGATTCTTTTAGTGAAAGACTGTACGGGAAACTGCTCTTTGAAGACTGAATGGATGCTGGTTTTGGTCAGCGAGAAACCAAAATGCAAAAGCTTAGATGAGATATTCATTCAAATCAGGAACACAAGTCAAGGCAGAGGCATCAGCCACTGTAGGTGCAAGTGAGGTTATATGGTCATTAACACCCGAATTACCAAATTGGCTCCCACCTGCGTGTCTGTACCCACCTCTCTTAGCTCCCGCCTGCGTGTCTGCACCCTCTCTCCCCATGTCATGTCTCTCCTGCTATTTCAGGGAGTTCCCAGGGTCTCCCCATACTGCCTCTGCTGTCCTCATAAATACCCTGCTCTTCGGTCTCTTCCAATAGGGTGCGGGCCAGTCTCAGGGCTCAGGAGACTTAAGTGGCCCTTTGGCCTGAGCAGGGCTGGGACTGGGAGGTTGGCTCGATTCTGCACACACCCTGCACCTTCAGGTCCAGGCTCTCCAAAGTCCTCCATGAACACAGCTCCTTCATCATCATCCGAAAGAAACCCTCTCTCCATAGGGAGGGAACTCAAATCCAGTCAACAGCCTGAAGAAAAGGGGAGGGAGGGCGTGTGGCTGTCACCCCATTCCTGCATCTTCCCTGTTTCCATACAGCCAGTCCACCTTCCTTCCAGATTCTCAGATCCAACATCAAAGTACTGTCTTATCCCTCAGCCACAAACCAGCCCCGATTCCTCCCCGGTGGCCATGCGCCGAACTCACTAGAGGAGCCACTACAACCAGCAATCCAGTCTGGGCTCAGTGAGGACTACCTACGACAGCAGGCACAAGAGCAGACAACCACCTTCCACAAAAGACGAAGCCACTCTAGATGTCCTGGGAGAGTTACACTTACCTGTGCGGGGAACCACCTCCCTGAGCGCCCTACAGGCTTATCTGCTTCCATGATCTGGGCCTCGTTTCTTCCTTCACCTGCAAAGATTCCCAATCAACAATCAGTTATTCACTCACTCATCTCACTCTCCAGCAAGGCTAGTTGCACATCACTCTTCATGACAGGGAGACAAAAAAAAACAAGACTTTGAAAACAGAGCTCTGCTGTTAAAAATGGGAAGCTTCATGAAAACAGAGGGAAAACAATGAATCTGATATTTCACATACACGTGGCTAAGGAACTGGCTCTGAACTGAGAAGCTATGGCTTCTAGCTTTGGGGCGGGTAGAATTGTTTGATGTCCTCCTAGCGTTTGGGAACCTTTGAAAATGAATGAGGCCCAGGCGCCTGGCTCAGTGGTGGTGCGGCTCAGTGGCTGAGCGTCAACCCATGAGCCAGGAGGTCACGGTTCGATCCGGTCAGGGCACGTGCCCCGATTGTGGGTTTGATCCCAGCGTGCAGGAGGAAGCCATTCAATGATTCTCTCTTATTATTGATGTTTCTCTCTCTTCTCTCCTGCCCTCGTGGGGCTGCCTGCTCTGCTGTGCCCAGTCCTCTTCGCAAGCCTGCATCCCTAACGTTTCCTTCTCCTGGACCTGTCAGCTCCCTCGATCAAACCCCAATGCCATTGTATCCTCAAAAACCCACTCCTCGATCAAACCCCAATTCCACTGTCTTCTCAAAAGCTAGCTGTCAGGAGCAGCTGCTCTGTCTCAGAAAAATCACGCTCTCCTGCCCATGTGGCCTGCCCCCTTACCTGTCTGGTTTCTCTGCCCCTCTTCGTGCTGGGGCAGCGGGCAGTGCAGGCCAGATGCAGGAATCAGAAGTCAGAGCATCTGGTTTCCATTTTGCTCTGCCACACGTTGGCTAGATTATGTCAGCTCTATGAACTTTAATTTTCTTACATTGATTTTTAAAAACACTACTTGACATATTTTTAAAAGAGATTTGTGGAGGAGGCTCCCCACTCCCCCCTCCTGCTTCCTTCCCTGCGCACTGAGCCCCATTGGGGTGACACTCCACAGCGACGCCCCTGTGGAGGCACAGTGTGGGAAACTGGAGGCAGAACTGGGCGTTCCGACTCTGTGCTTCCTCTTTCTTTTTTAATCTTTGGGTGCAGCTTACAAAGAGCATGTGACCTGTTCTGAAGCACATGGGGCTAGCTGGCACCGGTTTGGGTGGGAGGGGACCTGCCTCAGTGCAGCTCTATCCCCACAGGGCTCATTGGTCTGAAGCCCCCTGTCTGCAGCTCCAGGACACGCTGTCCTTTCCTGTGTGGACTCTGTAATAAAGATGGTACTGTGTTCTCTGTCTGCCGAGTACTCCTCTCTCAGTTGGTTCAGAGTTCAGGTGGGGAAATGAGCGCTGGCTATCAGGCCCCTGAAGATGCTCAACAGGTAAAGGAAGAATGTTAAAAGTTACAAAAGGCCCTAGCTGGTTTTGCTCAGTGGATAGAGCGTCAGCCTGTGGATGGAAGGGTCCCGGGTTCAATTCCAGTTAAGGACACATGCCCAGGTTGTGACTCAATCCCCAGTGGGGGGCATGCAGGAGGCAGCCAATCAATGATCTCTCTCATCATTGATGTTTCTCTCTCTCTCTCTCTCTCCCCCCCTTCCTCTCTGAAAGCAATACAAATATATTTTTTAAAAGTTACAAAAGGCATTTAAGGGAAAGCCTATGTCCTTCCATGCCACCCCTCAGTCCCTCAGTTATCAGGGGTGATCACTAAGACAGTGTTTCCTTCTGGGGACAAACTAAATATCGGATATCCCCAAAAATGTATATACACACTTTGAATAATTATAAAGGCAGTGTTCATTAAAATATTTCATTTTCAAAACTGAGCTATCAGCTATTGAAGTGAGTATACATTTTTTGGGGATACCCTGAATATAGTATACAAACACAGGTGCGCGCGCGCACGCACACACACACACACACACACACACAGGTATTTTCCACATGAATCAAGAATATGCAGAATTGTGTTCAACTGCGTGCCTTTTCCTTTAACATCACTCGGAGATCTTTGGGCCCTGGTATCTGGAGGTGACAGGGACACATGACGAAGAAGGAGCCAACATCACAGAGGGTTTGCTTTTATTTGTAATTCTTGTTAGATTGCTAGGTTGGTTGACTCTTCCCAAGTTGATCAGTGACACTGAGAGAACACTCTTGGTGCACTGAGCTTGTAGCACACACTTTGGAAGAGGACGAAGGGGGGCAGTCGCGGTCCTCGGGGAATTCCATTTTATGAGTCCCAGTGGGAGATACAGGAATAAGACTGACCCTGGTCACAAAACTGATAGCCAAGGTTGCCAGATCACACCCAAACAACTCCATCTGCAGTTTCACCCAGATTGTGGTCCAAATTTTCTACAAAGGGAAAGCGATGTATGAAGATGCAGCTGACGTGAGAGGAACTGGATTCAAGCCTTATTGGAAACTCAGGATGAGTCTGCCAATTTAATCTGAGCATAGATAACGGAGTTCAAGTCTGCAGAATGGTTTGCATTCAAGTCGTCTCTCTTTTCTTTTGAGGTTTTGAGAGCCATGCTGGCAGAGGTAAGTGCCTCCTCCGGGTTGGATGACAACTACAGAGGAAGAAGGAGGAGGAATGAACGAGTTCAATTTGGAGGAATGTGTCTCTTCAGAAGCAACTTGAAAGCTTCAGTCAGAGAAGACCCCAAAAGACCAGAAGAACCCTTCAGAGAATCACTGCCCAGCATCCAGAAAGCAATACTACTGCTTAGTGGATAAGCCATAGAGCATAGAGGGAAATTCCAATGGCGGCAGGTCTCCAGTGTCATGGAGACTGCGCGGTTATCTTACCTTGGCAAGAGAATCTGAGTGAGGATCCAGAGCGTGGGGACTTGAGTGATCTGCCATAAATGCCAGGAAAAAAAGGGGACAAATCTCACCAATGGGGTCTGGAGGAATTAGAAGCCTCTCCCTTTGGTCTTGGGTGAGGGGTGGGCTGGGAGGGAGGTGGTGCAGGTGGGAAAGGTGGAGGGTCTGGAGGGCAGCTGAGAAGTGGAGGAATTCAAATCTGCAGAGAAGGTGGGCTGAGCAGGTTTTATCCCCTTCTTCCCATTAGCCATTCAAGGCTAACTATTCTCGACAGCAGAGAAGGAACTGCTGCCCCATCTCTCGGAGGCCACTCACATTTTCGGTAGCTCTTTATGATGCAGACGACAAGGGCCATCAGCAGCAATGTCAGGAGACTCCCAGCAAGAAAGGCCAAGGCCAGGTGAAGTTCTTTGCTGTTGTGGCAAAAAGAGGGAGCAGATGACCCTGTGGGCTTTTCGAAGGCCCTTCCTAAAGATCAGAGTGTGTGTAACCTTTTCCTTCTATGGTAAGCCTCTAAAATAGCTTTCACGCTTCCTACTGCTTTTCAACTTTTTGGTTTCGGGTTTCAGATCCATTTGAAAGCCTCAACGAAAGCTGTGAACT